CCTTTCTAATCACACACCAAACATGTAATTAAAACCACTATCTACTTAGCTTAGTGTATGGTTTGTATAGCACGTACCTGCAGTCTTTTAATATAAACACTGCTTTCTCAGAGAAATGTGCAGCAATGACGTTAAACGTCTCTACACTCTGCATGCAGACACGGAACATTCCTCATAGAGGTGGATTAATTCAATGCATTTCTACGAAAATATGATAATTGGTGCAGCGAAGCATGCACAATAGCCTCCCAATGCTTTCCTGTGGGAATAAAGGTGAGTAAAATAACCGTAATTTCCAAGACAGGGGGGCTGTAAACCTAAACTAGATTTTCAAAACTATGGTGGCAGGAATTGCATGTTTGTGGTCATGTCACTATAGTGCTCCTTTAATATTCCACTATATTATACTGTACCCAAGAGTGCTGTGGTTAATTACTCTGATTCTAAGGAGAGATCAGTGCATTACCAGACCAGGTAATCCCATTGTCTTTTGGGATAGACCACATACTTTCTATTTTTGTTTTGTCTTTTCAATTTAATTAGGGTTAAGCCCTGGGGCAGTCCTGGCCTTTTTTCCTGGCACTTAGGCACTCATTTGTTTTAGAACCTTTTGTATTTCTGCTTTGTAATTATTAGGTACAATGTGTTTCTGTCTGTGCATGTGTATGTTCAATTATATCTCTGCAAATACTGTATTGCATTGTATAATGGCTGTGTCTAGATTTGTCAGTCCACCTAACCTCCCTCACTGTAACATCTGCTGCTCCTATTAACCTCTCTTTCAAAGAATGTGTACATAACACCAAAACCTAGCCCTGAACATTGCTATGTTCAAGAGTAGAGTTGAGCGAACCCGGACTGTAAAGTTCGGGTTCGTACCGAACATTAAGTTTTTTGGACCCCGGACCCGAACATGGACATATCAGTGTATGTTCGGGTTGAAGTTCATGTTCTGCAATTTAATGGCGCGTTTTGAAAGGTTGCAGGGCAGCCAATCAACAAGCGTTTGACAATTGTGCCCTTAGAAGCCATCACAGCTTATAATATATGCTGCAGCTGTGAGGGACAGATTAGGAAAGAATTCTGATGTTGAATGTGCAAACTACAGCGATTATTTTTGTGGGTGCTGTAGCAGGGTCAGAGAGGCTTTTTATGTTAGTAATAGATTGGAGCGCTCTCTATTCCCAGCATGATGGGGTTAATTGGTGGGAGTCACCCCTTGAATGTTATCAACCAGGTGAATGTAATTAACCAGCACTAGGGTTTTAAAAGGTTAGCCTCTGAAGACATAAGAAAGTCTAACAGCTGGGAGAGAGGAGGCAGTTAAGCCTGAGACTCTGAGAAAAAGATAGTGTGTGAAACCTGCTTAAAGTGCTGTATTTCATTTTGTTTAAAACTGGGAACCAGATTAGCTGGCCGGTTGAATAGTTAGTAACACTGTTGTTTAGTAAGTCTCCAAGTTGGAGTAGGATTTATTTTCTTTTTGTTTTAATTTTTGGGCGAGCACAACCTTGTATATATTGTGGAAAGTGACAATAAACTGCAGTACTATTTTATCCTGACTTTTGCATTTTAAGTTTATTGTGAAGAGCCTGGCCATCCTGCCACAGTACTATACTACATTTTTGTACCCTGCCCTGAGCCCAGTGCCACAGAGAGTGCAATGCAATTGCAACTGCGTGTGTGCCAGGCACATTACTTTAATCCTGTTCTGGTAGCTCAGTGGGCAACATCTAGGCATTTTTAAATACTGAAATTTTTTTGGTGCTAAACAGTACATTTGCGTACTGCATTTCTTGCAGTCCAATAAAACCCTTAAATACCACTGTTACATTGTTGGTTTAAAGGACCACTCTAGGCACCCAGACCACTTCAGCTTAATGAAGTGGTCTGGGTGCCAGGTCCTTCTAGGGTTAACCCATTTTTTCATAATTATAGCAGTTTCAGAGAAACTGCTATAATTATGAATGGGTTAAGCCTTCCCCCTAATCCTCTAGTGGCTGTCTCATTGACAGCCACTAGAGGCGCTTGCGTGCTTCTCACTGTGATTTTCACAGTGAGAGCACGCAAGCGTCCATAGGAAAGCATTGTAAATGCTTTCCTATGCGACGGCTGAATGCGCGCGCAGCTCTTGCCGCGCGTGCGCATTCAGCCCGGGGCGGATCGGAGGCGGAGAGGGGAGGAGAGCTCTCCGCCCAGCGCTGGAAAAAGGTAAGTTATTACCCCTTTCCCCCTTCCAGAGCCGGGCGGGAGGGGGACCCTGAGGGTGGAGGCACCCTCAGGGCACTATAGTGCCAGGAAAACGAGTATGTTTTCCTGGCACTATAGTGGTCCTTTAAAAGAAATATAACTTTTTGGTGCTAAATAGTACATTTGCAGCCTGCGGTGCATTTCATATCTGAGAGTTAAATAGAACCGTCAAATACTGTGCTTACAGCGAAGTTTTTAAACATTCAAATTTTTTAGGCGCTAAATAGTACATTTGGGGCCTGCACCTTATATCTGAGAGTCAAATAGAACCGTCAAATACTGCTGTGACATTGCAGTTTGCCGAATTCATATTTTTTAGGTGCAAAAAAGTACATTTGTGGTGTGCACTTCATATCTGAGAGTCAAATACAGTCAGGTCCCTAAATATAGGGACATTGACACAATTCTAATCTTTTTGGCTCTATACACCACCACAATGGATTTGAAATGAAACTAACAAGATGTGCTTTAATTTGAGGATATTTACATCCAAATCAGGTGACTGGTGTAGGACTTACAACAGTTTGTATATGTGCGTCCCACTTTTTAAGAGACCAAAAGTAATGGGACAGATTAAGTCATAAATCAAACTTTCACTTTTTAATACATGGTTGCAAATCCTTTGCAGTCAATTACAGCTTGAAATCTGGAATGCATAGACATCACCAGACGCTGGGTTTCATCCCTTGTGATGCTCTGCCAGGCCTCTACTGCAACTGTCTTCAGTTCCTGCTTGTTCTTGGGGCGTTTTCCCTTCAGTTTTGTCTTCATCAAGTGAAATGCATGCTCAATTGGATTCAGGTCAGGTGATTGACTTGGCTCATATTATCTGCTTATATTCAGCCAAATGCTTCAGAACTCATTGGACGGCGCTTCACAGTGCAGATGGACAATGACCCAAAGCATACTGCAAAAGCAACCAAAGAGTTTTTTTAAGGGAAAGAATTGGAATGTTATGCAATGGCCAAGTCAATCACCTGACCTGAATCCAATTGACATGCATTTCACTTGATGAAGACAAAACTGAAGGGAAAATGCCCCAAGAACAAGCAGGAACTGAAGACCGTTGCAGTAGAGGCCTGACAGAGCATCACCAGGGATGAAACCCAGCGTCTGGTGATGTCTATGCATTCCAGACTTCAGGCTGAAATTGACTGCAAAGGATTTGCAACCATGTATTAAAAAGTGAAAGTTTGATTTATGACTGTTAATCTGTCCCATTACTTTTGGGCCCTTAAAAAGTGGGAGGCACATACAAACTGTTGTAATTCCTACACCGTTCACCTGATTTGGATGTGAATACCCTCAAATTAAAGCTGAAAGTCTGCAGTTAAAGCACATCTTGGTGTTTCATTTCAAACCCATTGTGTTGGTCTATAGAGCCAAAAAGATTAGAATTGTGTTGATATCCCAATATTTATGGACCTGACTGTAGAACCATCAAGTACTGCTGTGACATAGCAGTTTTAATTCTTTAGCTGCTAAATAGTACATTTGGGGTGTGCACTTCATATCTGGTGTATGTGTGCAACACTGGCTAGTTACCACTTCTCAAGAAAGTCTAAAGACTTTTTTAAAAAAAGTAAAAAATAAGTTTTATTGTGATCGCTTCATATACAGAAGCATTAATATACATTTCTATATTGTGTAAAGACACAACTACAAAGTTAAAAACCAAACACCAAAACAATGTGCCAGACAATCTACCTGTGCATGGCTAGTGTGATACAAAAAGTCTACATCTTAAAAATGCACTAACCCACAGAAGATGGGTGAGAATTTTTTATATTTTTTTTGCAAATGGAATTTTGATTCGAATTTACTACATCGGTCACTTGTAATATTGTTTCACACCTACAACACTTGTTAAACAGATCTAAGTGATAGAAAACAGATTGATATTTTCTACACTAGAAACTACCAGATAACAACAAGCTGCTAATTTTAAACCAGTTATCAATAGCTAAGAGGTACTTAAACAATATTGTAATTCTGGGGCAATACCCTCACAAGTCAAACTGAGAGGTCAGTTTATAGGGAAAACTGTTGCCTGGATACAATTCTGAAAACAATTTCCAAATGTCCTTTGCAGACTTTACATGCTGGAAAAACACAGGTGCCAACTGCTGTGGCTTTCTGCAGTGTGCAGACCGGCAAGGAGGGCAGGGTTGAGGAGTGGGTGGAAGATGATGTGGAGGATAATGAGGTCCTAGACCCCACATGGAATGAAGGTCATGCGAGTTACTTGTGCAGTTTGGAGGAAGAAGCGGTGGTCGCACAGAGACACCAGCATAGCATAAAAGGAAGCAGGGTGCAAAAGCGGAGCAGCCGTTCCCTAGTGCTCGTCGGCATGTATTATCTCTAGAATTACTACAGTTATCTAAGTAACAGATGGAGCGATCAAAGGAACCATAACTGATTTAATGAGCCATTCTCAGTTTCACTGTAGCGGCTGTGCGCGCTTTCGGCGTTCTCACCCTGCTGCTGCTCGCCTGTCTGCGCTGCAGCGTAACTTCAGCCTTCCCGCTTACCGCCTCATATGTGAGATGCCCACAAGGTGGAACTCCACCTTGCACATGCTGGAGAGACTGTGCGAGCAGCAGCAGGCAATAATGGAGTTCCAGGTGCAGCACGCACGTGTCCGTCGCTCTGCACCAGACTTGCCCTCCAATAGAGCATTGTTAAAAGATTTAAAGTGGACTCATTCCAATTACAGGGCCTGGAAAGAGTCCTGTATTGTTATTTATCGCCACTACCTCCCCGCATCGGGAGTGGGAAATTTGCGCACCTGCTGCCTTCCTTGGATGCGGTAGCCATTTCTCAGGTTCCCTCTCCGGAATCGAACCCTGATTCCCTCTTATCCCAGGTCACCATGGTAGGCGCAGAAAGTAACATCAAAAGTTGATAGGGCAGACGATCTGCTGCTGACGATCTCCTCTGAGGGTAGCTCTCGGTAATATGCCAGGCGCCGTTGCACCTCCTTGCGCACTTCCTTCTCATCTTCGGCCCCTGGCTGGGGTACATTGCCTCACTGCGTGCCTGGTCGTCCTCCATGAGCACAGCAGTCAATTTGGCCCTGTTACGCCAACCAGGCGTTATTCCTCTGGCTCCATACAAGTCCTGCAGTGTAGGTCACTTTAGAGCACTGTAGTCCATGGGTCTGTTGGCAGGGACATGGGATCCCGCCGCTTGCCACCAATTGAAGCGGGTCCTGGGTAACCAGTGGTTATCCCCTTTTATTAGAATAGGTCAGACCCATTTCCCCAGTAACCGGATGGGACACAGTTTCAGGATACAACGTTGACAATCTTTATTTGGGTACACAGCTTTGCCTCCTCCTCCTACTCCGCTTCCCTCTCCTCATCCGGTCAGCACCAACTTCAGCATAGGCAGGGGGGAACGACAACAGGCTGTTTTAAAACTCATATGTTTGGGGGGAAAACCCCACACTGCGCAGGAGCTGTGGACAGGCATGGAACAGGCCGATGAGTGGTTGTTGCCTCAAGCCCAGCCTGGTGGTGTGTGATAATGGGCGAAATCTCATAGCAGCTCTGGGCCTAGCCGGTTTGGCGCACATCCCTTGCCTGGTGCGTGTGCTGAATTTGGTGGTGCAGAAATTCCTGAAAAATACCCAGATATATCAGAGCTGCTGCAGAAAGTGTGGACTGTCTTGTGCATGCTTTTGGCATTTTCACCCTGCTGTTGCTCACCTGTCTGCGCTGCAGCGTAACTTTGGCCTTCCCGCTCACTGCCTCATATGCGATGTGCCCACAAGGTGGAACTCCACCTTGCACATGCTGGAGAGACTGTGCGAGCAGCAGCAGGCGATAGTGGAGTTTCAGCTGCAGCACGCACTGGTCAGTCGCTCTGCGGAACTTCACCAATGAGTGGGCCTCCATGCGAGACCTGTGTGCCATGTTGCGCTGTTTCGAGTACTCCACCAACATGGCCAGTGCCGATTACGCTGTCCTCAGCCTTACTATCCCGCTTCTATTTCTCCTTGAAAAAAAACGCTTTGGGCAATGATGGAAGAAGAGGAGGAAGAGGGGTCATTTCCATGGTTATCAGGCCAGTCATTCACAAGTGGCTCAGAGGGTGGGTTTCTGCACCAGCATAGGCCAGGTACACAATTGTCCAGCATCTCCACACTGCACCCATGGAAGCGTTCAGCTGTCCATCTCCCAAACACTGGAGACAAAGAGGAAGTATCCCCCTACTTTTTTTTTTTTTTAAATGTCCCAATATTTTGGAGTGTAGGCTACCTGCTCCACCACCGCTTCCTCCTACACCGCCACGGTCACCGCCTCCTCAACCTATGGGTCACTTAGTATAAACTATGTACACAATAGCAGAGGCTTGCCTTTTCTCCATGCATCAGGAGTTGAGCTAAGTTTGAACAATGAAAGAGAATACCCTGCACTCCAACCTTCTCTCACATGGATAATTCTGGTGATCCTCCTGACAGCCATGCTTTAGATTTTGATTTATGTTCTTCCAAAGCTAAAATCAAAGATTCCATCTAGTGCTATTTTATGGCTCAGCTGTATTTTTTTTATTTTTTTGTTATTTTAAGTGATTTCCCTATCCACATTGGTTTTCAGGGCACTTGTCCTACTCTTACCCCAATTTTACTTTCTTTTGCAGCCCTCTAGCCCTTTCCACAACTTTTTTAGAGCCATTTTAGTGCCCAAAAGTTCAGGTCCCGATTGACTTCAATGGGGTTCGGGTTCGGGTCAAGTTCGAGCCCGACTTAAACTTTTGACGAAGTTCGGCCGAACCCGGCAAACCGAACATCCAGGTGTCCGCTCAACTCTATTCAAGAGTTTTGTAGTGCTTGCTTTCCTTATGTACTGTATACTGACTTTCTATGTGCTTCTTTATCTAGCCTTTTTGAAGAGGAAATAATGTCATATGTCCCACCACATGCCTTACTTCATCTCAGCTACTGTCAGTCACCACGTGGTTCCCCAGTCTCTTCTCCACAAAACTCACCAGGTATAGTATGAATTGCAGTTATTTTACACCCTGTGTTCTGCAAATTACTGTTGTTTGTGTTTGCTAATCATGTCCCTGCTCATGAGAAAAAAAAGAATGAATTAATTATAATGTGGGCGTAGTGTTCAGTCCCTTTTTCAAGACATTATCACTGTCTGAGTGATTTCCTTCAATTGTCAGGAATTCAGGGGTTTCAAAATTTAAGGCAAAATAGCTGAATTGGAATCCTTCTCCAAGTCACCTATGTTTATGATTTGGTTATTTTGAGATAAAATTACTAAGCCATTTTAAACATGAAATTGCCTATTGTTCATACTTTAGTGAATAATCATGAAAATGCTTTTTTGTCTTCTGCGATTTAAGTGTATTGGGCTATACCTGCTAAATTGCAGTAAGAAGAACTCCCAGGATAGTAAAAGTACAAAAATAACATACTTTAATGCAAAGAACAGTAAAATAGAGTCTTAAGTTAATATTAATCATATAGATATCAGTGGCCTATGTTAGGTGATATATGTCAAAAAGTGTTGAGCCAGATGGAGGAAAAGTATCTGATTTGTAATCTTGTTTCTATGTAGGTAGACAACGTGCAAATGCCCGTGCCCCAGCACCTTACAAAAGAGACTTTGAAGCTAAGTTACGGAATTTCTATCGGAAGCTAGAAGCTAAAGGATATGGGCAAGGTCCTGGGAAATTAAAGTAAGAACACTGTAATAAGACTTTATACCAGCTTACTACAGAACAGTGTCTTTTGAACTGACACACATTGTTGTTATTCAGAAAATGCAGTCAATCAGCCAGCTCTGATGTTTGGAATTGCATAAATGTGATGAAGCATAAACTATATACACATTATGCTCCATGGATTTCTAAGTGTATAATCCCATGTATTTTATGTATATGTTGAGCTCCACCATGTAAAGGAACACTATAGTGTTAAGATATAGGGTGTAAGGTATTCCTAATAATATAGTGTACTGTTAGCCATTTTAATTTCAGTGTGACAGCCGCTAGAGCCATACAAAACCCTGCATTGTAAACATTGCTGTTCCTGCATGATAACAATGTTTTACATTACAGGGTTAAGCAGACATGTATTTACCATGAGGCTAACAAGGCATTTGCCTTGGGTGGCACTTTCAGTGGGGCGGCAAACCATACCCCCTGTCAAATGCCTTGCCAGCCTCTTGTCGTGGGGGGCTTAGGAGCTGGCCGGGTGGCCACCTCTGGGCCCCCCCAAAGCTGGCATGGGCTGATGTGGGAGGCGGGTGGTGAGGGAGCACTCTAAACTCTTCCCTGCTCAGCTTGCAGCACAGTGATGCCGGAGGCGGAATATGATGTCACTCCGGCTCCGGCATCACTAAGAGGTGCGCGGGGGAGCTGAACAGGAGGATCACTGCTCCCTCGCTGCCTCCACTATGAGCCTGTCTGCCTGCATGCCTGCCAACCCAGCCAGCAGCAGCCCCACTGGACCCCAGGAAAGAAGCCACCAAAATGTAAGCAAATAATAAAAATAAAATTGTGTTTGTTAGTGAGAGTGTCTATTGGTGAGTGTCAGTGAGAGTGTGTGTGTTTTGTTAGTGAGAGTGTCTGCTGGTGAGTGTGTGTGTTGGTAAGTGTTAGTATGTCTGTTAGTGAGAGTGTGTATGTGACGGAACGCTGGCACTCCGACTGAGTACCTCCGCCAATCGATGCTCCTAGTGCTCGCTGAGGACTCCAAGCACTCCAACCGACACCATCAGCACTGCAGACCCCACTTCCAGCGATGCAACTGCGCCGGGGTCTCTGCTGTTTCCACCCACCCTGGACCCAAGGCCAGGATCCAGCTTCCAGTGGGTGAACCTCTCTTTCCCCAGAGAGCAGGAACAGGAACAAATCAAGCTATGGCAAGAGCTTCCTCTGGGGAGTAAGTGATTATAGCAATCTCCAGAGTGTAGGTATCCCTTCCCCCAAACATGAGCCAAGGCTTAATGCTGGAATAAGACTGATTTACTGGCACACAGAACTCACAATTTATGCAACACAAAACTCCTCCTCTGGGCCAGGCTAGATAATTGAGTTTCTACAATACACAAAACTCAATTATCTGCTGGCCAGAAATAATACAGTTTCATAAAACACACAGGGACCCCAAAACATGCAATAACCCCATAAAAAGTATATCCTTGGAACCGGGGGATCTGGGTGAACCACATATCCAAAATTCACCCAGATCCGTTCAGTACTTTGGAAAATACAGTTTAATGCAGATTCTGCAGAACATATACAGGCTAAATGAAAAACAATCACTTTATAATGTGTCCCCTGCTGTATAGTCCAAAACCACTGCACGATGTCTCTGTGCACCAAATACTGGCAAGATGGCACCGTGTTGAAAAGTCCAAACAGTGTCTGTGAGTTAAAATGGCCGCCATCCATTGTTCTCACCATGTGCTTCTGATACAGGAAATGGTGGCCACCCAGTAACTCCACAGTATGTCCCCAGATGGTTCTTAAAGGGCCAGCAGCAGCACAACACAAATCCATTATGCCCAAATCATGTCTTTAAAGGGCAATACATCCCAGGGGCCATAGTCACAGGGCAAGAGGTGGGCAAGCAGTCCTCTCCAGGCACAAGTGGCGAAGGGCACTTCGTCACACATCTTCCCTTTGGGGGGAAGACTAAACAGGTACCTGACCTTCTGCCGGTCAGTACCTAGATTAGTCGGGCAGCCCACCCACAAAGAAAAATACGCAGAGTAACCCCCCCACAATAAATGGTACTGGCCTGTAGGTTCAAGTTTGTAGTGGGACAGCGCAGCACTCTCGGTCTCTCTGGTGCAGCTAGGCAAACTGCTGGTGTTGCTTGGGGGGCAGAGGCCAGCGGCGCTCTGCCCTGCTGCCAGCTCTTCCACTGGGGTAACCCGTGTTAAGTCAGGCTCTGATACAGGGGAAATGGGGGGGCAGAGGCTAACAGAGCTCTGCCCAGATGCCAGC